TAACTGATATATGCGACCCAAGTCTGTAAATATCCAGGTAGTAGCATGTGATTTTTTTTCTAAAAATCATTCACACAACACATAATCTTCCAATTAAGATAAACATGTATCTATTTCTTCAACCCTTTATTATTTCTTCATGGTAAAATGCTCAAACCTCAGCTCATTTTAAAACCACACATTGTTCATTATTTTTGGCCACCCTAACGCTTGCTTGAGTCACACTAACGTACAGGTAGCATGGCTCTTATAATGTATTTATCAGCTATCCCTCTATTTCTTATTGCTGTAGCAAACCATGCGGTTTGCACAAAGTGGCAGCCAGCGTCGTAGACGTTCGTTCCAGATGCAGATCTTCTGATAGATACTGGCCAGGCATCGACCCACAGTTCCAGCCACGGCGTCCTTCCCATTCCACCAGTGTAGTGTGAAGCAACTGAATGTCCAGAGTCTGCGATCTTTAATCTTGAACTCAAATCTTAGACCACTTTGAAAAACTGGTGATTTCTATTGATCATAACACTTATATATACAGCTGAAAGGTAAATATATGGATGATGGTTCATGACAGATTCTCTACAAATTTTCTTTCCGTCACTACCAGGAGCCTAGAATCCGGACCTGTCATCCTGGAACATGGAGAAAGAAAAATTTTGTAGCTGAGCTGACTATACATTTCTACACAAATGCATGTCACAAATCCTTACTCGGTACAGACAAATATTTCATATTTGCCAAAAAGAGCAGTGAGTTTCATCCGGAGTGTTTGCTTATGAGAACTCCACATATAGAGGAGTTTCTATAACACATGTGGTAAGTAGCATGTTACATTTTCTATATGAACAAAGCCTTCACAGACTAGATAATAAAAATGCAAGAATAAAAACAGTAGTAAAATCACTAAGGGGAAAACCCCTGCTGTGAGTATGGCCTGTCCTCTCCCTTAGGTATGTACAAAAACACAGACCCAGAACTTTCTCATGACCAGCTCTTCTGCACAGGAACACACCTGCCATTCCATGCATGACACGATATGTGGGATTGCAATGATAGAGACTAAGAATGTGAATGTTGTAGAAAAGTACTTCTCTCTTGAACATGTCAGGTATTGTGTTTATTTTTTATAGACGATGTTATACTCATTTGTTTTCTCATTGGAAATCTCTGCAAATTACTCAAATACAGATTCTATTAAAAGTCTGATAATTTCCAGAAAATGAACCAAAGCAAAACAAACAAACAAAAAACAACAGCAACACTAACAAGAAAAACCAAAGGCAACCAAACAAAAACTTGGAATGTGGTATCATTTTAATCACAAAACAAATTTGTCTGAATTCTCTAAACTATGAAAATTGTCATTTTCAAATGTGAAAAAGTGAAATTAAACTTTACACAGCCACAATAAAACTTATTGGCACAGGAAATAATTTCCTAAACAGAACAAGAACAGCTTAGACACTAAGACCAACAATTAATAATTAGGACTTCATGAAACTGAAAAGCTTCTACAAGTCAAAAGACACTGTCAATAGGACAAAAGAGCAAAATGGGAAAATATCTTCACCAATCCTACATCCAACAGAAGGCTAATATTCAAAATATATAAAGAACTCAAGAAATTAAACACCAACAAAACAAAAAAAAAAACAATTAAAAATGGGTGCAGAATTAAACCAAGAATTCTCACAGAGGAATTTCTAAGAGTTAAAAGCACTTAAAGAAATGCTCAGCATCCTTAGTAAATCAAAACAACCCTGAGATTCTATCTTACACCCATCAAAATGGCTAAGATAAAAAACTCAAGTGATAGCGCATGCTGGCGAAAAAGTGAAGCAAGGGCAACATTTCTACATTTCTGGTGGGAATGCAAACTTGTACAACCACTTTGTAAATCACTCTGGAGGTTTCTTAGAAAATTGGGACTACATCTACCTCAAGACCCAGCTATACCATTCCTGGTCATATACACAAAAGATGTTCCACCATATAACAAGAACCCTTGTTCAACTATGTTCATAGCAGCTTTATTTATAATAGCCAGAAACTGGAAACAACCTAGATGTCCCTCAAAGTCCAGTTTTTTTAAAGAATGGATAAAGAAAATGTAGTACATTTACACAGTAAAATACTACTGCTCAGCTATTTAAAATAAAGACATCATGAAATTTGCAGGCAAATGGATGGAACTAGAAAACATCAACCTGAGTGAGATAACCCAGGACCAGAAAGACACACATGGTATGTCCTCACTTGTAAGTGGACGTTAGTCATAATGTGCAAGATAACCATGCTACAATCCTCAGATCCAAAGAAGCCAAGGACAGCCCAAGGGAGGACCCTTGAATCTCATTCAGAAGAGGAAATAAAATAGACATCTGAAGTAGATGGAGGGAAGGAGCTGGGTTGGAGATGGGGTGGGGACTGTAAGAGGGTTGGGGAACAGGTTTGGGGAGAATAGGGTAGGCAGCAATGGAGGAGAGAACCTGAGAGAGAATGGAAAGAAGGAGGAGATCATCTCTGGAACAGGGCGAGGGCATGGGGTAAGACTGGGAGTCTATGGCATGACCCTAGCTGAGATTCCTAACAGTGTAGGAGTGGAACCTGAAGTTGTCACCTCCTGTAGCCAGGCAGGACTTCTCATGGAGAGAGGAGGACACCAACACACCCATAAAAACTTCAACCCAAAATTTGTCCTGCCTACCAAAAAAGTAGGGATAAAGATGAAGCAGAGATTGAGGGAATGGCAAATCAAGGACTAGCCCAACTTGAGACCCACCCTACTGGAGAGAGCCAGCCCTTGACACTATTAATTATACTCCACCATGACTGCCAACAGGAATAACTGTCTTCTGAGAGCTTTATCCAGCCACTGATGGAAACAGATGCAAAGACGCACAGATAAACAATAGCAGAACTCAGCGGAGTTTTGTGAAATAGTGGGAGAAGGATTGAGGGAGTTGGAGGGCTCAAGGACACCACAAGAAGATCTACAGAGTAAACTAACCTGGGCCCATGGGGGCTTACAGAGACTGAACCATCAACCAAAGCGCATGGACAGACTAGACCTAGACACCTTACACATATGTAGCAGATGTGCAGCTTTGTCATCATGTGTGTACCCGAACAATGGGAGTAAGAGCTGTCTCCTATGCTGTTGCCTGTCTTTAGATCCCTTTCCCTAGCTGTACTGCTTTTTCTGGCCTCAGTGAAAGACAAAGCGTTTAGCTCTACTATGACTAGTGTGGGTTGGTATCTCCTTCCCTGAGAAATGGAGAGAGGGGACTGGAGGAAAGTGGTATGAGGACAGGAATGGGAGGAGATGAGGGAGGGGGCTGGCATCAGGCTGTAACATGATTAAATAAAATAAAACAAAAAATTTAGAAGGTTAAAAAAACAATCTCATAACAATTACCTTAGCTTGTGTCCAATTTCTTCCATGCTCTATAGAAATTTTTGGACAGAGAATGTGGGTGTCTTTTTCCTCTCTTGGAAATTTCTCCCACTCTCAGGAGAATGTCTCACTTTTCAATTCTCCAACTTTTACTTTCTCACCTTTTCTGTAATTTCAATAAAATTTGTTCCTGTTTTGCATACAAAAATAAAGTGTTGTAGACACTTAGTATTTTTGAAATGTTAAATGAAGGATTTAGTCCAAAGTAAAAGAAAGAAAAAAAAAGAAGGAAAAAGAAGAAAAGAAAACAGAAACGTCTGCATTTCATTGACCTTTGTTGACTAGACTGGGGAGTGCATGTCTTGATTATTCAACTTTGCTTTTAATTAATTGTATACCCTAAATACTAATCCTTTGTCAGATAAGTATTTCGGCTGTCTCTTCACACTGTTGATTGTTGTTTCACTAATGAAGCCTTTTTAATTTGATCCCATTAATCAAAACTTGTTTTTGTTCCCTGAGCTCTTAAGAGTCTTATGGATGAAATTATTTTCTATGTCCAGAGTTGAAGTGTTTGGAATAAACTACGGCCCTCACTTGTACTGGGGACTCAGAGAGGTGAAAATGGAGCAATTTTTTCTACTACGTGAGTTCCAGAAATCAAATGCAGATCATTAGGTTTGGCAATAAGTGTCTTTATGTACTGAGTTATTTTGCAATCATTCATCAGTTATTGTTTTGTATTTAAATTAGTTTATGGTTCTATAAATTCAGGCAAGTCTTAAGACTTCTGATAATCCTACTCATGCTATTGGAACAAGTACTAAAAGTACAGAACAGGGACTGAAAGAATGTTAGTACAAAAGGTACAAAGGGTAATCACGGGTCTGAGTAATAAAAAATTGGAATTAAATTAAAATAAGATCAGTTAAAGTACTATTTGCAATCAATCAATAATAAATTTCATAACACTTTACAGACATAATTTTCATCTAGCCTTCCCTATTCTAATAAGACACGACATACTACATTTTTCATTGACATGACTACAAATAATTATTCTTGATGCCAACTAATAATGTCAGTTTTTGAACAGATAGAATTTGGGTAACATTTTTCAAATATTTTGGCACATTTTTATTTTAAATTACTAAAGGGCTTCCTCTTTTCAGAAATATGTCCCTCTTCCTAAGGAGAAATATTTGTGCTCGTGAGAACAGAAAACACATTCCTTTGATGCAAACACTGAGCAGTTTCAACACACCTGAACTCCGGGAAATTAAAAACAAAACAATTCTTAGAATATGTTTCCTAGTTACTTGAGAAAAAGAAATAAACAGTTGGTGGACCAGTTAGCCCAACTTTCTTCTTTTTTTACTATATCCCTTCTATTTTCTGTGGGTGATTTTCGATTTTCACTGCTTCCAGTGATAATGGATGAGGTTACTTTGTGAAGAAACTTACAAGTTATCAGATGCCATACAATTTATCAGCGTCTTTCTAAGAAACCCAGAAGATAGTTTATCAGGACAAATTTTTAGCCTGTTTACCATGTCATGAATGTGTAGAGAAGGCTCAGATTTTTGTAGAAGCTGTGAGCACTGTGATAGCTCAGGCTGGAGCAAGATATTTGCAGAAGGAACTAAGCTCATAGTAATTCCCTCTGGTAAGTAACTTTTTTCTGCTTTATTCTGGTGATAAAAAGTAAATGTTTGGTTGTAGAAAAAAAATGAAAACCTACTATGAGTTAGTGTATATGGGTACAACATTCTTAGCCTGAATCATTATTTTTCAGGACAGATTACTGTATATGACAACCAAAATCTACTTTATAAATGGTTTCTTCCTTCTCTCCAGAAAACATTGAAATTCTGTAATTAGAATATTTACATACACAAGGGTAAGTGGGAGTTATTTTGAGGAACGTGTGTATGTTACTGGTGTAAATTATTGCTTCAAGATATTGTTGTAAAAGGTCTTTTAAGAGCAAGTCCTCAGAATGAAGTTTTGCTGATGGCTCCTCTCTGTATTTTGAAATACAACTTAGTACTACATTCACCAGGCAAATGGCAAAATAATTATTAATGTTTTTGATCATGATTCACAGTAAATTACTGCAGAACATGAATGAATCTCTTTCTTTTTCATCCAACGCCTTGTAGGGTAGGTTGTTAGCAATCACAGTTTATGTTGCTGACTCTCAAAATATTGCCTGGGGATTTCTCAGGATTTGTAGTTCATGCAAACTACTTCTGTCCAGTGTCCATGAAAAAGACTGTTCATTGTTTTACATCTTCATTTTATCATTATTACCCTCAATTTCTGCCACTTGACTTTTTATAAGAATACCTTCGTTTTAATTGTTAGTAGTTATGCCTAAATATGTGATTACTTTTTTATTTCCCTCTGAAAATTAAAGAAATCTCAATTAATTCTAAATTGCACTCTAGGCCAAGAATTGATTTGTAAATGACAACCCTTTAAGAGAGGAAATACAGAAACATCTGGGAGTCCTGAAAAAAAAAATAAGACTTCTCAACGTATGTGAATATGACCCAAATGTCAAGGCAGAGTGTTCTGAGTCCTTAGATTCACGATTACCATTAGAAGCATTGTGACTACATTTTAGCTTTGACTCCACTTATATCAACAAAGCCAATTTTATATATTCATATAAATAGTAACAACATATTGTCAGGGTTTTACATGGCCACCAGTTAATTTCAGATGTTAGCTATTACATGTAAATTCATCCAAATGTTTGACCCAGGCACAGAGCTTATGCCTATGGGAACATTTTCTTTATATTCTGCAGGGTAAAGCAGGAGAGCGGCTGGAGTTCTGGTGCTGCATGCTCCAGTCTCCACATCCTTGAAACTGTTCCTGGTTTGACCATGATGTCCAGAGAGGTCAGGCTACTCATCTAGGAGGCTGTGCTCTTCCTGTTCTGGCATTGGAGGCATGAGCAAGGAGCGCAGAGTAACTGATGCTCCTTCAGAGACAGAAGCACACAATTTTATGTTCAGGGGTTAAAATAAAATGTAGCTCAGCTCCTTTTATTGACTGGTAATGAACTTACCAGTTTTCAACTGTAATTTTTCCATTGTAAAATTAGAGAAGACATTGGGGAGGTGGCTTAGTGGGTAAAGTACTTGCTGCACAAGCATGAAGAAGACCTGAGTTTGAATCCTCAGTCAGTCTAAAGTCTTGCACAGCAGAACCCACGTGTGCTCCTAAGGGAAGGTGGGACACTGAGGCAGGGAAAGCTCCAGAAGGGCCCGGACCTGCTACACTTGGCTATTGAAAGGTAAATAGCAAGTAGATCTTTTCTAAAACCAACTGGAAGATGAGGACTGAAGCAAGGCTGTCCCCTTGGGCAGTCCCCTGACTGCCGTGTGGGCATATGGCAAGTGTGTGCCTGATTCCACACCCAGGAACTTGCAGGTCCCATATACACACATCATACACACAGAAGGAAATTTTAAAAAAATGGAAAAATATTTCAGAGCACATATCCTTCAGAAGGAAAGTGGATATTGAGCAGACATTGTCTCTAACATTTATTTTAAGAAACATAATGGCCATTAAACGAACCCACTGATAATGCCACTAAATCATAACATTTGATGCCATGCACATCAGGACTCTTAGCCTATGAGGTCAGGCAGGCATCAGCACCAGCCTCCTTCTATTTCTTTAGTCAATTTTCAAGAAAGAGCCAAGCTAGCAGTGACAGAAAAGAGTCTGGCCTGAGCTGACTGAAGTCAGATTGCACCAGAACTTTCAATAAAAGATCCAATTCCCACGTGCTGTGCTGCTGATTGGGAGCAAAGCCACTGTTTTGGACAGCAGAAACAAAGTGTTCCATGCACTGACACACAGTCTAAGCTTAACCACATCTTCCTTTGCTATCTTAGCCCAGCAGATTTCTTGTGATGGTACATTTGGCAACCCAGGTATACAGTCGCAAAGTAGGCCATAGATGATGAGCAGAGAGACATCCGTTTCTCTCCTTATTTGTCTTAAATTTAATTGGAAACCAAACTGTCCATTTCTGTGATTAAGAGCAAAGCTTTTACCCATGGAATGACAAGAGCAAGTCAGAGAAAAGAAGTTGCTGTTGCTAGCAGCCATGTTGGTCACAGTAATAAGCTCTGCATTTTATTCTTTTTAATCAGTTTTCTCATCTTGCCTAATTGATGTACTGAGGCTGAACCGATTTACAATAACAGATGTTTTCTGAAAAATGAAGCAGCTAAGATATAGAAGGTGTTTGGTTTGCTCAGTCTGAGAACTTGTTATGAATCAGTTAAATCAGGACCAAAGCCCTATTCCTGTAAAAATTCCAGACCATAATGTTGTCCCTGGACTCTGAAGATTCAGGGACCCTAAACTAATGTAGTAGTTTTGCTATGACTTGAATCACTGGGGTGTACTTCTATCTTTTGCGGAGAACAAAACCTGGTGTCATAGGTGGCTATTCTACCTAACAGTGTATCAAAGCAGATGCTGAGACTCATAACCAAACCTTCGGCAGAGTGCAGGGAATCATATGAAAGAAGGGGGAGTTAGTATGATCTGGAGAGGACAGGAGCTCCACAAGGACCTAATATATCTGGGGACAGGGGTCTTTTATGAGACTATCTCCAACCAAGGACCGTGTATGGATATAACCTAGAACCCCTGCTCGGATGTAGCCCATGGTAGCTCAGTATCTAAGTGGGTACCCTAGTAAGGGGAACAGGGACTATTTCTGATATGAGGATATATGTTTTCAAAGTAATTGAGGGAAGGCAAACCATGGCGACAGAGGAGTGAACGTGGTAACTTTTAGAAAGAAGATGAACAGGATTTCCTAACACACTTTCCCAGAGTTAACAATTACAAATACTGACACTGAAGAGCTCTATGCAAACATCCTATCAATGCTTGCAGACATCTGGACATCCATTAAACATCCATATGTGATGTATGGAAGGCCATTATTAAAGCATATGATTCTAGTGTGGGTTTATTATTACAGTCAAGAATGCAATAGACTCAATAGACTGGCACCTTGCTTTTTTCCTCAGTCAAGTGTGCTGTGAATAATGCTGGGCTTTGAACATTGACATGGAACTCTGGCTTCTCCACTTATTCCTAGAGAACATGGATGAATTTGTGCTTAGTTTCTAAAAGTAAGACAGATGTGGGCATGAGAACAGCAAGATTATATGAGAACCAAAGGTGAAAATGTGAAGAAAGCATGTGGCAATTGTCCAAACCATAGCAGACATGTGGAAAAATATACCGTATATAAATGATGGCACATAGTTACAAAAAAGTACAAATCTATTTCCTGACGTCTACTCCACTGAAATATTAAAAAATGCATGGCTCATTATACAGTCAGATAAATGAACAGTGAGTTGTACTAAATTATATAGGCAGAGAACAAATAACAAAGGGTGAGGCAGGGCAGCATGCTATAAATGATAAGAAATATTCATCTGTACATTGACCATAAAGGTAAGGCATACATTCATGCTGTATGGTTGGATGGAACCATACAGCATGAATGTATGCCTTGCCATGAGGAAGCAACGGTGAATGAGAAAAAAAAATAGTCCTTAACCATTCAAATTTTGTGTTTATGTAATGATTATTTTAAGTGATTGGTTTTAGTGGTGCATGTCTGATTACTGGTCTGTAATCCTAGCACTTGGGAGGCAGAGGCACAAGGATCAGTAGTTCAGGCCATCCACAGGTACATAGAAAATTTAATACTACACTGAACTGTATGAGACTCTGTCTCAATAATACAAATTACTATCATTATTATTATCTTTATTAGTTTTTCACTTTCTCTTACAGATAAACAATTAGTTTCAGACAAATCCCCCAAGCCCACCATTTTTCTTCCTTCTGCTACTGAAACAAATCTCCATAAGGCTGGGACATACCTTTGTCTCCTGGAAAACTTCTTCCCTGATGTTATAAAGGTATACTGGAAAGAAAAAAATGGAGATAATGTCCTGGATTCCCAGGAAGGAGACACACTGAAGACTGGTGACACATACATGAAATTTAGCTGGCTTACCGTGACTGAAAAGTCAATGCATAAAGAGCACAGATGTATTGTCAAACATGAGTACAACCAAAGAGGAGTTGAGCAGGAGATTTTCTTTCCTCCAATAAAGAAAGGTATGTGCCTATATCCTTTGAAATCTAGCTTTCTGGAAAATGTCTTTGAAAATACCCAATCTTTTTCTACAATGTATTCATGAAAATTAACAGGATCTTTATTGGGACCACTGTATTCATTATATCTTGTATTTTTCCTTAAGCTTTCGAAGCCTTAGCCTTATTATCTAAAATATCTACATCTATGGCTATATGTATGCATTTGTTTATTTGGAATTGCTAATTTAACTAAAAGAAATGGTACACTGAAACCACAAGCAACTAAGAACAAAATAAATGTTAAAATAAAGGTTCCACTTTTAATGACATAATCATGAATGTTCTGGCAAACAAGCAAAGTTGTTTACTCTAATCTTACCATGTACAACTTTCAACCTCCAAAAACTGGTGCCTTAGTTTACAACATATTAAAATGAAAGAATCAAAGCTTGTCAGGAATAAAAGTGGGCTTGACATTTCCTGGTTTTTACTGTGGTATGTATCACTCTCAGATAGAAATTATAGTCAAAGATTGAGTGAGGATACTGGTTGCAAGCATGTTGCTGTCTGCATAATGAATGCATCTCCTGCTATGTCGATGCATTTCAGAAAGCTCTTTCTGTACTAGCACATGTAGGCCTAAACGGTAATGTGTGTGGCTAGAAAAGGAGTACTCAGTGTCCCAAAGTGCAGGGGTCTGTACAATAGAGAAAACACACTCTTTCCAAATTACTCAGAATACGTCAGATGCAAGGTCCCAAAAGATCCCCTTGGTTCAGTGGGGGGTATGGCTGTAGACCCAGGCAGAGCACTGAATGCTCAGAAGGTCTGTCTCATAGTCTTGCAATTCATTAAATGTCACAATGGCTGGTATTGAACAACAGGCTCCAGGGACCTTCTGAAACTGTGAGGAGTGAGTAGATATAAAACCTGTGAGCCGCTTGATCTTCACTGTGTGGGTTTATCTTCTGGGACCCACAGTCTCTACAAGGATAAAGATCTTTGAACAGTTGCATTGGGAAGACGCTTGATTTGGAAAGAGGTGGTTGCTTTTCTCTGAAGATTGCTTTAGACAGTCTACTATATGTTTTTAGGGTTAAAAAAAGGAAAATATATTCTTTTTAATCTCTACTTCTCTGTATACAGAAACAGAACTTGTGATTATATATAATAATATTAATTTATATAATTATATATAATTATGGGGCTCATATTTTAATATACATCTGTCCATGTGAGGCCATCTATGTATTTAGTTACCTGTAGATATATCCATATTCATAATCACACAGAGGACTGTCAAATAATGTACACAGTAATTAACAAATTCCTGTTGTCATTTCTTGTAGTTGCCATGAGTACCAGCCCTACAACTTGCTGGCAAGATAAAAATGGTAAGTTTTAGTATCTGTTTGCCTTTGGGCCACATAATTTCACTTTTCCTTTGATTATAACAATGTTTGAACTGCCTTGAATTAATTAAAAAATATCTGATTTTTATCTGGGTGTTACCGATAGTGATATTTACAACTAATATGTGACTATCTGGACCTCACAGCAGCACAGTGAACTACCAGCTCACGTTTAAGTGAATTTAATGAGCGGTACAGTGATGTACCCTATCAAAGGACTTCATTTACTCATATGTGTATTTCTTTAACCACCAAAGAATCATGATAAAAGTAAAGCCTGAGTGTTTGAAGTCATCTCGTAATGCTCTAGTTGCTGGCACTGATGGGTTTAGAAAAGCTGCCTCCCAAGTTCAGTTTCCCTATCCGTGGTTCTTTTGTGAATGGTGAGTGTTGAGTTTCAGGTTTGGGTGGGGAGAGCTGTTCCTGAATGTAAGCCATCAGAAATTAATACCCATTACTCCCTCCTCGGTAGCATGTGCTGTGCCATTAAAACCCCACCTGATGGAGCTAACTAAAACCTCTTTCAGATGCACTGCAGCTTCAGTTCACAAGCACCTCTGCCTACTACACCTACTTCCTCCTGTCCTCAAGAGTGCGGTCTATCTGGGCATCATCACCTTTTCTCTGCTCAGAAGAACCGCCGTCTGTGGCAACAAGAAGAGGTCTTAAGGAAACGAGTAGTGGTGCAACAGTTGGGTTTCCTTGCTAGCTTTGACTTCTGTAATGTCACATGGATATATCATCCTGTCTGAGAAAGTGCCAGATTGATTTCCAGAGTGGTTGTACTAGTTTACATTCCCACCAGCAGTGGAGGAGGGTTCCCTTTTCTCCACATCCTCTCCAGCATGTGTTGTCACTGAGTTTTTGATCTTAGTCTTTCTGTAGGGTGTAAGGTGAACTCTCAGGGTTGTTTTGATTTGCATCTCACTATGTCTACAGACAGTGAACTTTTCTTTAAGTGTTTCGCTGCCATTTGACAGTCTTCTATTGAGAATTCTCTGTTTAACTCTGTACTCCATTTTTTAAATTGGATTACTTGGTTTGTTGGCATTTAACTTCTTAAGTGCTTTATGTATTTTGGATATTAGCCCTCTGTGAGACGTAGGGTTGGTGAAGATCCTTTCCCAATCTGTAGGCTGTTGTTTTTTTCTGACAAAAGTGTCATTTGCTTTACAGAACCTTTTCAGTTTTGTGAGAGATTTTCTTGAAGAATAGCCTGTTTCCATCCCACAAACAAATGCAGAACTGTTGACACCAACCAGCTGGGAGCCAAGTCCTAACTGTTCTCTGTGGGGCTTTCGGAGATCCCACAGTTCTCCTTGCCACAGCTTCCCCTAGTATTGAAGGGAGAAGTTCTGTCTATCTCAATGTGTATTTTCGATACTTACCTGAGGTAGTGAATAACTTAATCCACTATCTGGAAAATGCCACACCAGTTATTTCCACCATTACTTCATTCAATTGTCAACCACTGCATTTGTAACTAGTGTATATTTCAAAAGGCAATGGAAAAGATTTTGAATGTTGTCATGGCATAGAAATAATGAATAAATGTTTTAGGAAAAAGTTATTGCTTACCCTGATTTAAAGAATACTAAATATTTGTATGAACTCAATTGTTATGTAAGATTTCATAAGCATGTACAAATTTTATCTGATACAGCTAAGAAAAGCCAGACAAAGTAGCCAGGATTCTATGAAATATGGCTTTGTGGTCAGGGTTCTCTCACCAAATTTTGTGGTTACCTGCATGAGGTTGTTATAGTGACATAGAAGGCTTGGACCCAGGAGGTTGCATAACTTCCTTTTTGCATCAGTAATTACCTGGATTCCCAGAATCTTCTGCCAGTGATTCAGTCCATGGATGACCTTGAGTCTCAGAATGCTACTTATATCCACACAGCAGCGTTACTAAGGCTCCTACCATGCCGGAGGCTCACAGTCCACTTTACCAGTGCTCTCTCCAGAGGAGCAGGGTTTATTGTTTGTTTGTTTTGTTGTTGCTTTTGGATTTGGCTTGGCTTTTTTGAGACAGGGTTTATCTGTATAGCCTTGGCTGACCTTGGCTTTCTTTGTAGGCCAGGCTGGTCTACAAAGTCACAGTGGTCCTCCTGCCTTTGCCTCCCTGAGTGCTGGGATTAAAAGCATGTGACACCATGCCTGTCCCGAAGAGCAGTTTTGAACCAAAACCAAATGCTCAATGGAAAGCGGAATGGCTGTTCTATGTACACCAAGTGGCATGATTATGATTATTCTAGAGTAGATCACATTTTTAGGTAGTGGAAAGATGTGTAAGAATGACAAGTGGCATAGAGTAATCATGAGGAATAAAGAGATGAACTCACAAGTCTTAGAGAAACCATCACTGACTGTTTTAAGGAAGCAATCGGTGTTTTTATATTTTGTGGGTTATTTTTTAATTGAATGTCACTGAAAGATATAGGATGTCTGGTACATCAATGTACACACACTGTCTTTCTGCCTCTCTCTCTCTCTCTCTCTCTCTCACACACACACACACACACACACACACACACACACACACACATTGGAAATTGGAGAAGTCTGACTCAAAATATCGATCTTGATAGTGATATCAGCTCTCCAATCTGTGAACTGTGGCCCATAATTGTTATCTATTCCAGAGAACTGTCAGAGGACCAGGATTGCTTGATGTATAGTACAAGATGTGCTACTATTGCACTCCCCTATGCTTCCCACGGTGAACAATGGAAACCACTAGTGGTGCCTTTGTGTGTGAGCGTGGAATCCACTTTCTCTAAGGTACAGTCAAGGGCTTGCTTGCACTTGCTGTTACTAATGCTCTTAACATACAGAACTCTAGGAGATAGAATATTCTACATTTTACAGAGGGAAGCTGTGCTACAGGATGCTTAGTATCTGAGGTCTCTCCTCTATCACTTTTCTCTCTGGAGTTCTGGTAGCTTTCTGGGATCAGTATGAAGATCAGAAAGCATACTTCTGTGAAATACAGGCCCAGAGCTGAGTCACGCAGACATTTGTCACTGCCTTGAGAATGCCAAAAACCAAATGAATTCAAAATCTGGTGGCCTTTAAGCACAGTAACATGGCCTTTTCAATTGCCAGAGGCTCCTCTTACAGTCACTGTCCTAAGAAATGTCATTACCATAGGCTTCAGACGAAGATTAGGAATGTGTTTTTAGGTTCTTCCCACTGAGTGTCATGGCTCAAGTCTCAACGTTGTTTCATACCACAACTCCCAGGTAAAGACTGACAAGAGTTGACTTCTGATTTTGTAAAAATTTATTGTCTCTAATCTGGAATACAAGACACAAAATTCAATTAAAAAAGGAAGCTATTCAGATTGTCTAGAGTGGAGGTTTTCAGGGAGGTAGCTGGCTCCAGAGTAACAAAGCCATGGGTAAACGATGCAGGCTATGTGTTCTAGAGCTGCGATGCTTCAGGCTCCTGGGAGAAGGGACTAGTGGAGAGGACGGAATCAGGAGGAAGGTGTGCTCAGTTATTCTGGAGTTGCTTAAATTGCTTGTAAAAGTATGAAAACTTTCCTGCAAAGACAGTATGATATACCACGTGACGTTACAGAAGTCAAAGCTAGCAAGGAAGCCCAACTGTTGCACCACTACTCGTTTCCTTAAGACCTCTTCTTGTTGCCACAGACGGCGGTTCTTCTGAGCAGAGAAAAGGTGATGATGCCCAGATAGACCGCACTCTTGAGGAGCAGGAGGAAGTAGGTGTAATAGGCAGAGGTGCTTGTGAACTGAAGCTGCAGTGCATCTGAAAGAGGTTTTAGTTAGCTCCATCTGGTGGGTTTTTTTAAATGGCATAATGCTACCGAGGAGGGAGTAATGGGTATTAATTTCTGATGGCTTACATTCAGGAACAGCTCTCCCCACCCAAACCTGAAACTCAACACTCACCATTCACAAAAGAACCACGGATAGGGAAACTGAACTTGGGAGGCAGCTTTTCTAAACCCATCAGTGCCAGCAACTAGAGCATTACGAGATGACTTCAAACACTCAGGCTTTACTTTTATCATGATTCTTTGGTGGTTAAAGAAATACACATATGAGTAAATGAAGTCCTTTGATAGGGTACATCACTGTACCGCTCATTAAATTCACTTAAACGTGAGCTGGTAGTTCACTGTGCTGCTGTGAGGTCCAGATAGTCACATATTAGTTGTAAATATCACTATCGGTAACACCCAGATAAAAATCAGATATTTTTTAATTAATTCAAGGCAGTTCAAACATTGTTATAATCAAAGGAAAAGTGAAATTATGTGGCCCAAAGGCAAACAGATACTAAAACTTACCATTTTTATCTTGCCAGCAAGTTGTAGGGCTGGTACTCACGGCAACTACAAGAAATGACAACAGGAATTTGTTAATTACTGTGTACATTATTTGACAGTCTTCTGTGTGATTATGAATATGGATATATCTACAGGTAACTAAATACATAGATGGCCTCACATGGACAGATGTATATTAAAATATGAGCCCCATAATTATATATAATTATATAAATTAATATTATTATATATAATCACAAGTTCTGTTTCTGTATACAGAGAAGTAGAGATTAAAAAGAATATATTTTCCTTTTTTTAACCCTAAAAACATATAGTAGACTGTCTAAAGCAATCTTCAGAGAAAAGCAACCACCTCTTTCCAAATCAAGCGTCTTCCCAATGCAACTGTTCAAAGATCTTTATCCTTGTAGAGACTGTGGGTCCCAGAGAATAAACCCACACAGTGAAGAGCAAGCGGCTCACAGGTTTTATATCTACTCACTCCTCACAGTTTCAGAAGGTCCCTGGAGCCTGTTGTTCAATACCAGCCGTTGTGACATTTAATGTCTTGCAAGACTATGAGACCCTCTGAGGATTCAGTGCTCTGCCTGGATCTACAGCCATGCCCCCCACTGAACCAAGGGGATCTTTTGGGATCTTGCATCTGACGTATTCTGAGTAATTTGGAAAGAGTGTGTTTTCTCTACTGTACAGCCCCCTGCACTTTGGAACACTGAGTACTCCTTCTCCAGCCACACACATCACCGTTTAGGCCTACATGTGCTAGTACAGAAAGAGCTTTCTGAAATGCATCGACATAGCAGGAGATGCATTCATTATGCAGACAGCAACATGCTTGCAACCAGTATCCTCACTCAATCTTTGACTATAATTTCTATCTGAGAGTGATACATACCTCAGTAAAAACCAGGAAATGTCAAGCCCACTTTTATTCCTGACAAGCTTTGCTTCTTTCATTTTAATATGTTGCAAACTAAGGCACCAGTTTTTGGAGGTTGAAAGTTGTACATGGTAAGATTAGAATAAACAATTTTGCTTGTTTGGCAGAACATTCATGATTATGTCATCAAAAGTGGAACCTTTATTTTAGCATTTATTATATACTTAGTTGCTTGTGGTTTCAGTGTACCATTTCTTTTAATTGAATTAGCAATTCCAAATAAACAAATACATACATATAGCCATAGATGTAGATATTTTAGATAATAAGGCTAAGGCTTCGAAAGCTTAAGGAAAAATACAAGATATAATGAATACAGTGGTACCAATAAAGGTCCTGTTAATTTTCATGAATACATTGTAGAAAAAGGTTGGGTATTTTCAAAGACATTTTCCAGAAAGCTAGATTTCAAAGGATATAGGCACATACCTTTCTTTATTGGAGGAAAGAAAATCTCCTGCTCAACTCCTCTTTGGTTGTACTCATGTTTGACAATACATCTGTGCTCTTTATGCATTGACTTTTCAGTCACGGTAAGCCAGCTAAATTTCATGTATGTGTCACCAGTCTTCAGTGTGTCTCCTTCCTGGGAATCCAGGACATTATCTCCATTTTTTTCTTTCCAGTATACCTTTATAACATCAGGGAAGAAGTTTTCCAGGAGACAAAGGTATGTCCCAGTCTTATGGAGATTTGTTTCAGTAGCAGAAGGAAGAAAAATGGTGGGCTTGGGGGATTTGTCTGAAACTAATTGTTTATCTGTAAGAGAAAGTGAAAAACTAATAAAGATAATAATAATGATAGTAATTTGTATTATTGAAACAGAGTCTCATATAGTTCAGTGTAGTATTAAACTTTCTATGTACCTGTGGATGGCCTGAACTACTGATCCTTGTGCCTCTGCCTCCCAAGTGCAAGGATTACAGATCAGTAAATCAGACATGCACCACTAAAACCAACCATTTAAAATAATCATAAAAATTGAATGGTTAAAGACAATTTGTTTCTCATATTGTTTGTTTTCAATATACTCCATCTTGACAATCTCTGTCTGATTTTTTCTCATGCTTCACTTTCTTAGATTAATTGTATGTATCCTTTGAATGTATTATTACTGTTCTGCTGCATTTTCTTGAATGTATAATGAAACATTTCTGAATTTGGAATTTTTTCTCTCTAAAGGATGTGCTGTAAATTAGTTAAACTTAGTAGATTAGCCATGAAATGACACTCTCTGTGGAACAATGCCACTTCTCTTTTGTATGTCTCCCCACCTTTAAAAAAAAACTTGATTTCTAAACTTTGCTAAGTTTTAAGGAAATTTTACTTATTCTTTGAAGACCTCATCTATGTATAAGATGTATCTGCCCTCCCTCTCTCTAGGTCCCTATGAGCATCGCAGAAAATCTGCCTCCAGCTTCATGTCCTCTTTTATCTTTAATCCCCTGAGTGCGATTAATGCTGCTCCTACATGCTTGGCTTTGGGGGTGAAGGGTAATCCATCGGGCACTGGCAGCCTACCAGTGGCCAACATCCTAAAAATGTGTCTGTCCCTCCCCCAGCAGCCATCAGCTGCCCAAAGCTCCTCAGCTGGAGAGTGACCCTTGGTGCCCCTCTATCTTCCTCGCTGGGATCTTCAACTCACTTGATCTTGTTCCTCAAACAACAGCTGCTATGAGTCTATGTGTGTGAAATGTCATGCCCAGTGGACAGAATCTCACAGAAGTCTCCTGACTCTCCCATACTTAGTGGTATCCAGTGACTAGACAGAAATCATGTCCAAGCTCCCGACTAAGGCCTCTCTCCTCTGCCACATGGCAGAATGGAGCTTGATGTAGAAGCCGCCAAGACATAAATCCTCTTTCATGCCTTTGGCCAGGCGGGGGCAGAGTGAACCTGGGAGCGCCTATGATCAATCTGGACTCGCTTCTGAGACCCTGTCATTGAAAGGAGGTGGTTAGTGCACCAGAGTCTCCACTGAATACAGCAGGCAGTTCAGTGGGCTGGGTAGGAAGCCTGACCCTCTACCTTTACTGTCCACCCCAAATTCCCCTGAAATTGCTAGTTTGTGCGTTTAAAATGTGGGATCCAATGGTAGGATTCTCCTCCACTCTTTTCCCCGTACCATGCTTGTTCTCTGCCTTATCGAGTAGAATTCTGTAAAGACCAATGAGCACATCATCTCCCAGTTTCTGCAGTACAGGAGGGTGGCCACCTCCTTATCTATGCATGGTCTTCTCACTCTCCTTCTGAAGTCTTTCCCTGGTTGTGAGAATGCTACATACTTACATAAGATATGCAGAGCTGACCTGTCAAACTAGGGAGCAACAGCAGCATTCACAGCACAAGGTGTTTCCTTCTAATTGTGCGGGCAGTTTCACACCACTGTGATTCTGCCTACAGTAAAAGCAGGGTTCTGTTTGTGAAGTTATAAGTTAAAAACTAGTTACCGTCATTTTGCTGTGCACATTTTGAAATATTCAAAGATATGTAAGTGTTGTTTGGTTAGTTTCTATTATTTCTCGTTTGTATATATATATATATTTAGCTTTTTAATTTGGTCATATGCAAGCTTATAATGTGCAAACTTTAACTCTTTACTATGATTTTGCTTTTTCAATAACTCCCACATTGTTATATAGTAGATATAAATTTGTTCTAAGTGATTGTAAGTTATTTCATAGAAATGTAATTCAGACAATATAACTCAAATAGGTAGCTCTGGTTTCATTTCTGATCTATAGAGAAAAAAGTCTTAATGATAAATATTACTTCTTATTTAGGATTGATCCAAAGGAAGGAATTTCAGAGTTAGATAGCTTGCTCAATAGTAGAGAAACCTAAATCTGAAAACTATCTGTCCTGAAGAGCTGGACAGTGGTCCCTAGGGCATGTAACCATCTGGCAGCACCTTCTTCAGCATTAGGAGCCATCACTGTGCCCAGTTCAACATGTGTCTGGTTTCTAAAATCACCTAGATTAAGTATTATTTATACTTACACATACATACACAGTGGGGCTGGAGGGGAGGTTCAGCGGCCAAGAACACTGACAGCCATTACAGATTTCCTGGATTCAATTCCCAGCACCCATATAGCAGCTCACAACTGTCTGTAATTCCAGATGTAGAGATCTGATACCCTCTTCAGACTTGCTTGTGCTGCACAGACATATATACAGACAAAGCACCTGTACTTATAATATAAAGTTTAAAAACCACACACACAAGTAAAAAAAAAAACAAAAAAACAAACAAACAAAAAAAAAACAGAGAGATGATCCTTGGTACATGAATACCTTTGACTATTATATAAGTGAGTCCATTTCAGCCTAGTCCAAGGTATAGGTGATGTTTGAAGTTTACCCCTACAGAACCTAAGGTCAAACTTTAAAATGACAGTGTATTAATCTTGGTTTCTTGAGGATGGATCATGTTTATTGCATTTGATTTTGTTGTTCTGTTTGTTTTTTTGACATAGGATTTTTTTCAGTGTAGCCTTGGCTGATTTGAACTCTCTTTGTAGACCAGGCTGGCCTTAAACTCACAGAGATTCACTTGCCTCTGCCCCCTGAGTGCTGGGAGTACAGTTGTGTGCCGATGCTCCCTGCTGAACATTTCTTTTACAAAGACTTTCATATCGGCATTGTAGTGAAGAAATGTGTAATGTTAACACAATGAGATCCTCCTTTTCTTTTCTACCTCAGGATCTGAAGAAGAAGCTGAGGAAAAACAGGACAGTGAGAAACCACTTTTAGAACTATGAGTTCTGCTCTGTGAAATATGTGTTAGTAAACGAAATTATACCAACAAACTGTTACATGTGTGCATTTCCTTGGGCAGACTCAAAGGAAGTGTCTCAGAGCGTGCACCCAGAGCCAGATTTGTCCTGCTTGTTGTGTGTAACAACGATTCAGGTTGAAGCATTCACATTGTGTTTGGGTTGTAAATGCATAGCTTGAAGGATCATTCAGAGACCCCCATTTCTAAGAAAGTAAGCTTAACTTAGCCAGAATGTCTGTGCCGGGCATTGGCTTAATTTCAAACAGCCTCCTAATGATGTCTTGACATCAGTGATCCTAAGAGGTATGGGATGGCCGTTACCTCCCTGTCACACTTCTGGATGCAGGGCGTGGTACCGAATGAGCTCAGATCCAAGCAGTTTTTCCCCAGGGACTTCTGCAGATCCCCACAGGGAAGCATCTCAAGGGTGTTAGCACTTCTGATAGAAAAGCTATGAGCTGCAGCATGAAGGACATTGGTGAGTGAGCTCAGATGACAAGGAAGTCATTCTAAGACTCTCCACGCAGGGACACTGAGCAGCACGTGCGGGGCAGCAGTGCTTGTAACCATGGCCACCAGGGGAGAGGCTGCAGATTGTGGCTCACAAAGCAAGGGCAGGCAGATGGGCTGCTGGCCCAACCAGTGCCACAGCAGACATGTCCCTTACACAGCCCCGTGTCCCTTACAGTCAGCACACAACAGCCGCTGGACACACAAGAGGGGAAACTGTCAGCTGAAATCGCCAAGTCTTTTGTGACCCCCTGACAAATACTTGTTGTCCTGCCCTTAACATCTGTGTGTTCTGTTGCCTTCAGTGCGGAGTTGGGAAACAGGCAGGCAGCACAGCACGTGGCCTCCGACCACTGCTCACTCTTTGTCTGCACTCTTTCTCGAAGTGTGAAGAACCCTCACTGCAAGTCATCTAAGGACGACAGGTGGAGATGGGCTTCCCCTGGAGCTTAATGGTGGATCTGCTCACTGCTGGCTATTGATGAGCTAAGGAATTTATTTATGGTGATACCTCATGGACATTGCTCCGCCTCCACTCCCATCATTCCTGCCTGTGGCAGTTGCGTCCTGCTCTGGTCCTTCCTCTATTCTGTGAGTCTCCCTCTGACCTGATAATGAATAACTCGGTCTCGTGCTGCATCCGAATCAAAAGACTGCTTAATATATTGAAATAACAATTTCGTAGTAAGTGAGATTCCTTTTTATTTCAATTCACAGAATGTTATTTTTTTTTGTTTCACGTCTCAGATTTCTTTTGTATTTCTTTTTTAACTCCTTACATTTCACTTGTGTTTTTAAACTCATGCACATGTGCTCTTTATACAATTTAAAAAAATAAATCCAACATATCAAAATGACTGTTGTGTTTTCTCTATATTTGTCTAGTAGTGGTGCGTTTACAGAAGGGAGAGAGTGTGATATGGTGGCATAGAAACTATTGTCCTGTATTTGGTCTGATTCTCCTGGAATACCTTGTTCTGAAATAGGGCTCTGATATTCTACACACAAACCAACCTGCCAAGGATGCGGATGCCTTTGCTGCTACTTTTCTTGGATGTTTTCTTCCTTTGGATTAATAGGAACAAATTTACATCATCAACTGTTTCGCTGGTCACTTCTCCCAATTCACTTTCGGGTTCCCGGGAGGGCGGACCGAATCTCCATCATTGGCTGTGTCATTCTAGGAAGATTAACCGCACCCAGCAGTGATGCCAAAGGCTTGGTGGACACAGGTTCTGCGCAGATCCAGTCCTGCATCTGCACAGTCTGAGAGCGTGCCCACCTCGGCAGTGCCACAAGGATCCTGGCAGGAAGGCTGCAGTGCAACCAAGAAGGGCTGCCCATGGGAAGGGAGAGTAGAGGGAGCTCCCCAGGTCTGTTCTTGGGACAGGACCTCAGGAACTTGATGGAAGGACCCCGATGACAGTTTTCTGTGTCAACAGTGGAACAGCATGTACTCCAAGCCTAGCCAGGTATCAGTGGCTGAGACAGAACACTGCTGAGTGCTGGCCTGCGTCACTGGATGTGGCCAGTGCTTGCTTCTTCACTGCAGCCGTGTAAAGGACTGATCAGACACAAGTGGACAGTGTATGTGTAAGACTGTGAAAGAGATCACACACTGAGACCCTAGAGACTGCCTGAGTCATGCCTTCTCTAGGACAGGACAAGAGAGCACTGGGATTCGGGTGTCTCCTCTGCACCCAGCCTGTTCCTGACCTCTCATTGCTGCATACTGATACCCTACAGTTAGCCTTCCTGTAATTCTTCTGACATCAATCTGCCCCCTCCCTGCCACCACCACTCCCTGCCACTCCCTTCTTTGCTCATAAAGCACAGTACTGTGGCTCACATCTTTGTCCTTTGGAATCAGGAGGCACATCTCACACAGTCTTTGCATTCTGAGAAAAAAAATGTCAGAAGTGTCAGCATCTGTGAGTGCAGTGCTTCAGACCCTGCAGCAAGAGGCTAGGGTGACTTTGGAGCTGCAGAGAACCTTCTGTGTTCCTTAGAGCATGTAAGGGGTTGATCAGAGACCCAGGGTGTGGTTCTCGGCATCAGAGTCCAAATGAAGTAGCTGAGGACACCAGCGATTCCAGCTCCTCTCAGCTTGGCTCTTCAGTTTGACAACCACATCCTCCACACAAAGCTAGAATATTTTCCCCCATTAGCCGTGGCCTTTTGAAACTTCGCAGAGCTGGCTGTGGTTTAACTGCTCTTATTTTCTCTTCTAACACCCTCGTTGCCCTTTCTGTTGCCACAATCAGTAGAGGTGGTTTTGGCTTTGAGCATTTTCCAGGAAGCAACCACATTGACCAAACAGGTTAACAAAAGACGCCTGAGAAAATAAAGCCATGAGCCATAGCAGCATCGGCCTGCACACTATCGACCTCTGGTGTCCCCTATTCAGCCACAAATAGCACTCTCTCTGCACTGCTGAGACCTGGGGGGGGGTGTCCAGGTGGACTCTGGGAGGAGGGTGCTGAGAGGTTTGAGACCACAGTAGACGCCATCTGTGTACTGGCTAGCCCCAGCCTCACAAAGCTGCTGCTGCACTCCCCACTGCAGAAACAGTTCCAAGTCTCTAAAGGGGGCCAGGAACTTGGACTGAAAAGGTCTGATCAACTCAGGACCATCAAGGAGTTAACCTAAGTGAAATCTAATCTCCAAGTCTCATTCTTGTTCCAAAGGGGCAGCTCTGCTTACTTTCCCAAGAACCTGCTTTCAGACCCAGACTGATTGCAAACAACCTCTCCAGTGTTGAAGTTAGATATCATTTTACTTCAGATGTAGTTCTACCTTGGGGAAGTATCCACCAGGAAAGGTGGGAGACACAGTCTGAGGTCTCATCCGGCTGCCACGTGCAGAACATTTCGTTTAATATCTCTGCTTACAGAAATGCAGTCACGACTGACAGGTGCCATGGTTGCTGCTATTACTGCGCAGTAGAAAATGGGGGAAGGATGTGACACATATAAACAGATATATAAACAGACCTCAAACAGATGAGATGCTTGTCTTCAGAAAAAAATAAATTGGTGCAGTGAGGTCCCGTTTTATACTTGGAAGGTTGACACAGCCCTGAAGCTTGGTGATCTTCAGGATGGACACCCTCACCTGGTTTTCAGAGCTGGGCTCTCTGGGAAGGGTCATTTGGCATATCTTCTCAGTATCACTAGAGAACATGGATGAGACACTTCCGTCTGTGATTGCACAACTTGCCAGTGTGTGCATGTCCACATAGTGGCAAACCCCATAATGTTGGCTCTCAGGCATTCTCTACCTCCTTTCTTAAGATTGGGACTCTCAGTAGCCTGGACTCACCAAGTAGACCAGCCAGTGAGCACCAAGAATATGTATATCCCAGCGTCTTCAGGGATGGGTCAACATTCCTCGACTCTCATAAGGATGCTAGGCATTGACCTGAGCATTCATCATTGCAAATTTTTCTTTTTGAGAATTTATTTCATTGCAAAAAAACTACAAATACAAAGTGGTGAACAGAAGTACTAGAGAAAGTTCTAAGGTGTGTTGCCTAGAAGTTTTCTCATTATTTTGTAATTGGAGTTTCTAAAATGTATGTATTGTTGAGAAGTGTTTGAAGAACTCTCTGCTTGCTCATACACCATGGGGTTATAGGAAAACCTGAAAAACTTACCAACCAAGTTCTCCCAGGTGTGAGGTGGTTGGGGCACACTTAGAGCTTTCTCAGAGGCCTGCCATGGCGGTAGGACACTGGCTAAGTGTAGTCAAGGACTTCTGAAGAAAGGCTACTGTTGAGACAGGACTTTCTGCCTGTGGGGTGGTACAAATCTTCATTTCCCACTGAGTGCATTTGAGTACAGACTTCTGTTCCCATGTTTATTTCATCCTAACTGGTGCTAATCAGCACACAGCCTTATTGGTGGGCAGGAAGTCAGTGTGACAGTCAGCCCTGGTTGAACGGTCAGTGACAGGTTGGCCTCCAGCTCTGTAATTGTAACAACAGCATAAAACCTGGAGAGAAAGGGTAGACAGATCATTGTATCAAGCAGTTCTCAGCTTGCGAGGAGGATTTTCCTGAAGAATAGCTTGTTCCTGCTCTTTAATCACATGATGTAGAAGGCAAGAGCTGGGCTGCTGAAGATAGGCAGCCTTGGTTCAAATCCTAGCTCTAGTTCTTGTTAGCTACTAGCTATGGGGAGGTTTCTTACTCATTTCTGTCTGACTTGCCCAATCAGTATAATGTCACGTGTGCTTGTCTCCTTGTGTACAAATAAGACATAAAATAAGGCAACACATGCCACAATTAGTGTTCTTCATGAGGCTTTCTGCAAACGAATTTGCAGGGGCATAGAAACTGGAATATATCCCCAAGAGATGGTTAAATTTCAGCATGAGATTAATCCATACATATCATGTAATGTGTATTTCACATAGCTGGGAGAAAATTATGAATGTTTCCAAAAACTGAAACTATTTGAGGGAAAGATATGTTTACACTGATTTGAAATTTTTATAGTACAGACATTGCTCCAGCTGTCACAGGGGAATCTGTAATTACCAATAAATGTTATATATCACTGTGGGCAGGGAAGGACTAATGTAACTAGTTAGAGACAGACCAACTAGCTCAGACTCTTAAATGGCTCTGAAGCGTGATTCCTGTCCAGGATCCTCACACCAAAGCACACAGCTGACCTATATGTAGCAGTTTTGGTGAACAAGCTTTGGATGAGGAAGGATGCATAACAGTCTTCATCCTCAGAAATGTACCCAACTTCATCTCAGTCTCCCATATGCCGAGTCTGAGGACTTCAGAGCTCATGGAGTGTGGAAGAGCTAGGTGTCAGAATGCAGTTCACATCCTGAGAGCATTCATAATGGCCCTGTAGGACCTGGAGCCCACTTCACTAGTGCTCTCCCAGAAAGAGCAGGTGCAGATAGGTACTCCCAGGGGAAGGCAGAGCTTCCACTGATGGCAGAGGGAGAGACAGCTGTGATTCCGGAGTAGGGCGACATTTTTCCCAAAGAAGAAAGACCAGGAAATCAGCGAGCAACAGGTTGACCTGGGGTATATGTAAGGAAAATATAGACATGCAAGTCCTTAGGAAATTCTCCAGACTATTCAAGCCGTTTGTTTTATCTTTCTGATACTGATACTGAATAAATTATTTATGTCTCTAAAACAGATATCCTGAATTCAGAGAAACCTCATTTTAAAATATGACTCATTTGAAAATCAGTGCATGTAAATTTTCTAATCAATAGGATAGAAGGGTGCTCACATCAAAGGAGACTTAGAGAATCATAGTTTGCCTGGCACATGGCAGAAGCTATGTCTGTCACCTGTCCTCACTTTTGGTGCTTTTGTGTGATGTGTGAGTGGGGGGTATATAGGTCTTTTTATTTTTTTCTCATTTTTTTATTATTTTTATTGTTAATTTATTTATGTAATAACTTTACCACCTGATTTCAGACACTTACCTTCTCTCCTCCCAGTTCCACCTTCACATCCTAATTCTCTCCACTTTCCCTCCCCTTCTCCTCAGAGAAGGGTACCAACTAGCCTGGGCACATCAAGTTGCTGGAGGCCAGATAAGGCAGCCCAGCTATGGGAAAGGTATCCAATGTCAGGAAATAGAGTCAGAGACAGACCTCACTTCAATTGTTGGAGGACCAACATGAAGACCTAGCTGCACATCAGCTACATATGTGAAGGGCTCTTAGGTCCAGCCCATGCATGCTCTTTGTTTGGTAGTTCAGTCTCTGTGACCCCGCATGGGCCTAGATTAGTTTACTCTGTAACTAACCTACTCTGTAGGTCTTCTTGTGATGTCCTTGATGCCTCCAGCTCCCTCAATCCTCCCACTCTTTCACAAAACTCCCAAGCTCCACCTATTGTTTGGCTGTGGGTCTCTGTATCTGTTTCCATCAGCTGTTGGATGGAGCCTCTCAGAAGACAGTAATGCTAGGCTCCTGTTTCTGAGTACTTCAGAGTATAAATAATAGTGTCAGAGGTTGGCTCTCTCCCATGGGGTGGGTCTCAAGTTGGATCAGTATTGGTTGGACATTCCCTCAATCTCTCTGCTCTGTCATTATCCCTACACTTCTTGTAGAAAAGACAAATTTTTTTGTCAAAGTTTTATGAATGGAAGCCGCAAATGGCTACAGGAGGTGGCTGCATCAGGCTCCTTATCGCCTACTGTTACGAGTCTCAGCTACTCAGCTAAGGTCACCCCCATAGACTCCCATGAGTCTTCCCCTTCCCAGAGAGGCCCTCACAAAGATTTCTGTTCTCTCTTCTAGCCCTCTCTTCAACCCCTGCACTCCCCACACCTGATCCCACCCCTGTTACTCTCCTCTGCTCCTGTCCCACCCAGTTGCCTCCCTCCATCTATTCCAAATGTCTATTTCCCCTCTGAGTGAGATTCAAGCCTCCTCCTTTGGTCTC